GCCTAACAGATCAAATAAGTCCAAATCCAAACTGTGAACTATGTGTTGCGGAAGTAAGTGCTTTTTCAAAGTCTTTTTTTTTTATACAACCTGGGAGCTTTCGTGTTTCAAAGCATACTGGTGAAGTAGAAAGAATTCCCCCAGAAATCTTCAATTCTCCATTCTCCACAAGTTCTGAAGACAGTGTCTCCCAACCAATAATGAACTTAAGCAGCAGAGCTAGTGTGTCTGGTGAAGCTAAACAGTGACATAAATTATGTCACGCAAACAAATCTCCACACAGTTGCTTTATAGAATGCACACACTAATAAACAGTCACACATCAGTTTATATAAAAAAAGAAAACAACTGTTTCATTGAATGTTCTTAGTAAACCTGTGATTCCGCACATGGAGTTCTGTGTCACATGCAGGGAGACAGGACAATGATTTGATTGTGACCTGCAACGTGATCTCATCTCACTAACAATCCACCTGACTTAACATATTTCTAGGTCACACAAGTTAATGAGGCACTCTGTGGGCCCTGACTGGAAGAAACCTCCATAATACAGTACGTAGAATGGATACAGCTGTTGCCTGCTCTGGTGGAAAGATATAATTAACATAGTTTCTTTTTTTCCTTAGAAAATAATACATAGAATGGCTAAGAAAATTAAAAACACTCATAATTGTGATATGCTATAAAGCATTTGATGTCACCAGAATGAAAGGTCTTACATTTGGACCATGCTATCAAACGTTTTCTTCTTTTTAATCAGATCAAACTACAAAGTTAAAGAATCAGGATTTTCCACATTCAATCTCATCTACTTTATAAGCTTGTTTTGGCATGTCGCTTGATTCATAGACCATGAAAGGCTTTTCGAAACAGCTGTGGAATTTGAATACTACTCAGGTGAAGCTGCTGCTCCAATAAAATTGAACCTGCTTTTCCCTTATGCATTTCAAACAAACTGACTCTCTGAACACACGGTTTTCATCTCACCGTCTTGTAATACTGCCGATACTCTTTCTGATTCAGACTGATAATGCAAAACATGTTGAGCCATACCTGCTGGTCTGCTGGTGCAGTTTTCCACCATTAAAAGATCAGGAAGTTCTTTGAAGCGGAGCTTCCTCTTTTAACCTCCTGAGACCCTGTGTCCTCATAAGAGGACGTTGCATTT